GTCTTGCGCGTTGCCACGTTGCCTAATGTTTCGGCATTGCTCCGTGGTGTGCGAAGAGCATTCGTGAAAAGCGCAGTAGAGGTCTTTTCGGACCTTCTTGCGGGCTGGCTGCTGATGGTTGCTTGCTTGCTGGGCGTCGAACTCCTTGCGTAGGGCTTGCACTTCTTCGACAGCCATCACAGCCTTGCCCGCCCGATCTGTTCTGAACTTTCTCCAAGTCATGGGGGCTTGGCCTTGCCTTGGCGGCTGTCCCTGGATCGCCGGCTAAGACTGGCGAACAGAGAAGGGAGGTGGATCGGCAATTTGAACTTGTGCTTGAGCTTGAGCAGCGGCGACGGAGGCTTTATCGTACTCAGCTTGTATAGCTTGCCGTCGCTTAGAATCCTCCTCGCCCCTTGCGAACCCGTCAATGATGCGAAGTAGGTGCTCGAGCGTCTGCGGCTCCTTGTTGGCGATTTTTCTTGTTAGTTCGCCCTCAAGCAGACCGGCCGAAGCGGCGTTTATAACCGACGCCTCGGTTATGTCTTGAACTTGGCACCGGGCTTGCGAGAAGCGACGCATGTACTCCCTTATCGACTCTCCCGGCCTTTGGCGAATGCCAAGAAGGTGTTGCTGCGTCTTCGGCTCCTCATAGGTGCCTCAAAAGTTAAGGACAAAAACATCGCGCAATTGCTCCCATGAGTAAATGCTATTGGCTGGTAAATTGAAATACCAAGAACGGGCGATGCCGTCTAGAGCGAGATGTATTACCTTCGCCTTGGTATTTTCGTCACCATGAGCCGCTTCGATCGCTGACTCGTAGATGGAGAGGAACTCCTTCGGGTCAGTTTCGCCCGAATAATGTGGGACAGGTGGGAACTTGAACTGGGGCGGGATTGGACGAGTCTTGATTCCCCCACTCAGCGGCAGCCCCTTTTCGCCTCCCGCCCTGTTTACCGCACCTTGCTGCGGGTACGGTATGGCAAAGGGCGAAATCACGGCTTGTGCGTGGAGTTGGGCCGCGGCATTCGACTACCCGGCTCCAACTGGTGGTACTTGCTGGGCCACCATGGATGGGTCAAAGATTGGCTGCGACGACATCATGGCAGCTTGGATTGGTGCTTGGTTTGTTCCGAAGCCTAGGGTTGGAACTTGCTGCCGAACGGTTGTCACCTGAGCAGTGTTGCCGAAGTCGAACTACTGTCCTTTACTCCACGGCGAAGGTCCCGAGCTTGGCTGAATCGGTGGCAACCAATTAGGTGCACCTTGACTTGTATTCCCCACCGGGTGAGCCGATGGGGTTGTACTTGAAATGTAGTGGGGTTGGTTGAGTTGCTGAAGGAAAGCTTAGAGTTGCGCCTGCAGAGTCGAAGCCCCTTCCGTCACTGTTTGTGTCACTTGGCCAGGTGGTTGATGCTGCTCGGCGAAGTACACCGGCGGCTGTGCGGCTAGTGGTGGAGAGGGCTGGGTCACCACTTGCGGCCGGACTTGAGGTGGGGCATAGCCTGCCGAATACTGAAGGATTGGAGCCGACGTTGCCTTGGTCCGCCTTGTCGCCTCGTATGCTTGTTGTTGTTCTTACATTTGGCAAAGCATGTCTTGGAGCCGTGTCATGTTCTGCCGCATGGCTTCCATGTCGGCTTCGGCTTGCACTTCGGGGTCCAGGCTGATTTGGGCCTGTACAACGGCGAGCGCAATCGGCGCCGCCGGCTGTGATGGGGCGGCTTGAGGCACCACCAGTTGGTTTGTCGAAAGGTTCCCCGCCCTGGTCTGGAGTGCCCTTGCCGCCGCAGCCGCCTTCGCCACATCGGCCGTGTTCGGCACTTGCACTGAGGTTGCGGGGGCCGAAGACAGTTGTGATGGCGCGGGGGCCGAAGGCGGCTGTGATGGCGCTTGTCCTTCTCCATCTTCGGCCACGGACGCCGAAGGCTCTGCTCCTTCCTCGGCGGCCATGTCTGGTCCGTCGTCGCTCTCCTTCCGCCTGACGGCCTTCTCCTTCACGACCCTCTTCGGTGGCACTCGCTCTCAGTGGTTTCGCTCGGAGTCCCCATGGACGGCGCCAGCTGTTGTCGAAACGACAACTGCATACGTCGAAGGACGTGGTTACTCAACAGCGGTTGGGAAAATGAAGTGTACTAAATTTTGAATTTTCCTTGGGATCCCCCCATTACATGGCCCTAGGGGACTATTTATAGCCCCATTACAGGTCCTTACTACCAGGGTTTAGGTTATACAGGGGAATTTACATGATTACCCTTACAAAAGAGGCATTTACAGGGGTACATAATGTTATAGGTGCTCATGGGCCCCTGATGGGCCGTCTGGCGATCGCCGGCCTGATGGGCCGGAAAGGCTTCCTCGGCCCTCGCGGGGGCGAACTTATCAAGGCGAAGTCATCCTCCTTCGGCAGACAGTCTTCGCCTTGCACCCTTCGCCTGAGACGCCTCTGGCCTGGCGCTACTCTTCGCCTTGCGCCGCTCTTGCTCCATAGCCTTCGCCATAGGTTTCGGCAGGTTTGGTCGAAGAGCCTCATGCCATCCGCCAACAGACCGAATGCCCACCCCTAATGGTGGAGGATGAGCAAATGGTGGATTAAAGTACAGTTTAACAACGTTCTAAAATTATCTCAGCTCATGGGATAAGAAAGTAATGTTGGTTGGTTTTATCGGCTAATACCGGTTAGCTAGGGAAGGGGTAAAATCCTACCAGATTTCCTTTCCTAACAGGAAAGAAACGAAACAATAAACGAAGGGACAAGAGATAAACGTTACCGTGATTGGTGATAACAAATTTTGAGTCTTATCCGGATCGACCCCGAGTCTCACCAGTGCAAATAAAAAGAAATGAAGGCATTGAGGAGAGGTGACGACTAATTCTCTACGTGTAAATTCTGAAGCCCTAAAAAAGAGCCCGATTGATCTCAAACAGTGGAAAGGGTTTATAGTGCAAACCACTCCTGTGCAGGTGAATCAAGAAGGACAACAGAAGAATCAAAAGAAATTAGCAAAACTTCAATTCATCTGGTCAGTAATTATCTCAATTCCGTATTTAGAATTGATGATCATGTCTTAAGCTAAAAAATAGATCTTGAGTAAATAATTTCAACAAGTAAACGCCACCATTAATGATACCTCTATTTTCTAAAAAAAAAACCCATTAATGATACCTCTTGCTGCTCTGCCATCGCATTGGTCGCCTAATTACGGTTGCTTAATTTCATCCAAATCCGATCCATCGCTCTCGATCGATGCTGCCTGCTGAAGATCATAGCTTGGGATTTGGGAATTGAAGTTGGGGCCTACATATGGTCATATGCCCATCCACGTACAGTTGCAAACATGCTCCTCTGATTTCCTGCCGGGTCCGTGTCACGCGTCTACAGGACAAGCTTGTGTTGTGTGTGGAGTACACAAGGACGTACAAGATGCTGTTTATCATTGTACGGAACGGAGGTTTATGGCAGGTAAACGTCGCGTGAGTGACAGGACATGGAGCTAATTCCTGACGTTAACAGAGTTGATTACTATACTACTTCATTTTACTTTAACTGTTTTAAAATATAAGGCTCGTAAGTTTTTTAAGGTAGCTTTAACATAAAGTTTTGAATATTAATATATTTCTTTTACTATCAACGGCTATATAAATTTGGTATCATATGAAAAATACATTTAAATGAATGTAATAATGTCACATGGTGCAAAACATATAAATTATTTTTATAATACAGCAAATGCACATGTACACACAACACCACCCTCGCACACCCTCGTGAACCCATCTTTTAACACACGGTTAAAGAGACAGAAACCAACCATACATTCTTAATTTCACTAAATTTCTATTAAAACAGTGTATTCTTGATTTCATAAAATTCTTATAATCACCCGTGCTCCCTAATACATATAAATTATTAGTTCAATTATTAATTAAAGTTTGTAAATTTTGATTTTTTTTAATAAAAAAACATGTGGATGTCTTTTGCGGTGGGACTAGAGTAGTACAGTAGTGCTCCTTCGGCTCCTGAATGGTCATTTCTTTTTTTTGACTCTTGTGAATACTCTCTGCTGCATTAGCCTGCTGTATGATTATCTCCTCTGCAGTCTGCAGTGTGCACCAATGGCGAGCTGGTCAGTCATTTACAACATTGGCTGGGTGTTTCCCTTCAAACTTCAAATTTTTCCGTTATTTAAAATTTTTTTGAAAAAATTTAAAAACATAAGTCACGAGTAAAGTACTATTCATGTTTTATCATATCATAACAAACAAAAAATATTAATTATAAAAAAATTTTAAATAAGACGGATGATTAAAATTGGACGTGAAAACTTATGGTTAGACTGAAATGGGACAGAGGGAGTACTAGCAGGAGACAGTGGCAACGATGTGTTTACCAATGGGGAAATTATGGTACCCCGCACTTTGTCGGTGTATTCTACTAGTAACTAATAGTAGAATAGTAAAATCAACAAAAATCAATGCAGGTCATGAGTTAAACCGTGAACCTGCAGAGGGCAGACTGGAACAAACCAGGTACAGATTGGATTACCCATGATGCTTATTTTACGTACTAATGCCTCCCTCTCAAAAATAAATTCATTTTCTATCGATCCAACGTATATCAATATAAAACCAAAATAACTAGAAAATCCCCACTTTATCAAATCCAAATTTAATTATGTTTCTTTATCTACCCTGATACATTTATCATATACTTTTACAAACTCTGATGTACTGATTGCTTGAAAAAAGATATTATTTTGAGATAAATGGGAGGGACCAAAGACTTATGTAGAGATGGAGGGAGGAGAAGAGAGCCCGTACCATTTTCACTGTATTTATGAAGGGCGCTAATTCAAAATGTAATATTTAGGATAAACAGTTTTGATATTTTAGTGTTGGATAGTACTCTCTCCGTTTTACAATGTAAGTCATTCTACCATTTCCCACATTCATATTAATGTTAATGAATCTACACATATATAATCTAGAAGAAACTCAACAGGAGCAGTATTAAACAGAACTGGACAGCATAGAAGATGCACACACATATATATTATTATTTATATACACTACTAAGTAGAAAAGAATGCCACAGACACGGTAATAAAAATGGCAGTAGATACATAAGAAATAATTTAATTACACTAGCTAGCAGTGGCACATCTGAAAAAACAACGTGAAATAAAAGGGAAAAAAAGCAAGCAGAAAGCTAGCTCATCACTTTATTCCAGAAACGGTACAGTGTAGTGACTCGCTCGCTCCTCCCTCTGGCGAAATAATGTCGTCAATGCCTCAATCGTGCAGCAGCAAGTGCTCGGTCTCCGGTGATCGCCGTCACTGGTCGGTCGCTGGCGGTATGTGCGGCGGCTTGTGCTTCTTCGGAGGTGCTTCAGGTTTTGGCTCAGGCTTAGGCTTAGGTTTCGGTTCAGGCTTTGGCTCTGGGTATGGTTTAGGCTCCGGTTTTGGTTCGGGCTTAGGCTCTGGTTTAGGTTCAGGCTTCGGCTCTGGTTTTGGCTCCGGCTGTGGCTTGGGCTCTGGCTTTGGTTCTGGGTGTGGTTTGGGTTCTGGTTTGGGATCCGGTTTAGGCTCTGGATATGGTTTGGGCTCTGGTTTTGGTTCAGGCTTTGGCTCAGGCTTCGGTTCAGGCTCTGGTTTTGGCTCTGGTTTTGGTTCAGGTTTTGGCTCTGGCTTTGGTTCTGGCTTGGGCTCAGGCTTAGGCTCAGGCTTAGGGTGTGGCTTGGGCTCAGGCTTTGGCTTTGGCTCTGGCTTTGGCTCTGGTTTTGGTTCAGGTTTTGGCTCCGGCTTTGGTTCTGGCTTTGGCTCAGGCTTAGGCTCAGGCTTTGGTTCAGGCTTAGGCTTAGGCTCAGGGTATGGCTTGGGCTCAGGCTTTGGCTTTGGCTCTGGCTTTGGCTTTGGTTTTGGTTCAGGTTTTGGCTCCGGCTTTGGTTCTGGCTTTGGCTCAGGCTTAGGCTCAGGCTTTGGTTCAGGCTCAGGGTGTGGCTTGGGCTCAGGCTTAGGTTCAGGCTTAGGCTCAGGCTCTGGGTGTGGCTTAGGCTCAGGTTTCGGATCAGGCTTTGGTTCTGGGTGTGGTTTGGGCTCTGGCTTTGGTTTGGGCTCCGGTTTTGGTTCCGGCTTCGGTTCCGGTTTTGGCTCTGGCTTCGGCTCTGGGTACGGCTTTGGTTCTGGTTTTGGTTCTGGCTTAGGCTCAGGTTTAGGCTCCGGCTCAGGTTTTGGCTCTGGCTTCGGCTCCGGTTTTGGCTCTGGGTATGGTTTAGGTTCAGGCTTAGGCTCAGGTTTTGGTTCTGGCTTTGGTTCCGGTTTAGGCTCAGGCTCAGGTACTGGTTTTGGCTCCGGCTCTGGCTTGGGCTCAGGTTTTGGCGTGGGTTTAGGATGAGGCTTTGGCTTTGGCTTCGGCTCCGGCTCCGGCAGCTTCTCGTATGTCACACGACCCTGCTTGCTCATGAAGCGGGCGCCATGGCCGAGCCCCCGGCCAGCAGCCGCCGCTTCATCAATGAAGGCGCTCGCCACCGCCAACGCCCCAAGCAGGAGCATGGCGACGGCGAGGCAAGGAGAGCGCCTCGCCATGGCTGGCTAGCTAAGCTCCTCCTCTTCCCTTGTCTTCTTCTCCCTCTCTCACTTCTGCTGTTGTACGTGGTAGAACTGAACTGTGAGCTTCTGTGATCTTGTGCCAATGGATGGAAGGGTGGCTGGGGTTTTATAGCCCGGGAAAGCCAGGCATCTGTGGTCACGTGTCTCCATGGCCCCCAGCTTTTGTGGTCTCGAGCTGCTTGCCAGCTCTCACCCAGTATCCTGCCTGGCTGCTTCCCCTTTCCAAATCTGACTTTTTTTTTTTACCCTTCTTCACTTTTTACCAACTGCTAACCCTACTTTTTGCTAATTAATCAACACCTGTGCTGATTAATCAATCGATTATACTTTGCTATACTTCAATGTGTGACTGGGCAACTAGAGCTTTCTTGGAAGTTGGAAAAACATGAATATTTCAGACAACTTTTGTTAGAAACGGAAATACCAGTAGTAGAAGTAATTCGTACGAAAACCAAGAGTAAAATTCTTGAGCCATCATGGCAATGGCGATTGGCGGAGCCCGCAAGGCAAACAGTGTAAATAGATGCAGCAGAAGCTAAGCATTGCAATTTGCAAGAGCAGGAGATGAATGGCAGCAATGGCGACTGAACAGCAAGAAGGGGACAGCAGCCAGAAACACACATTAACGTGGGTGAAAGCGTCCCATATTCCCTTGAAAATTGCATCCAACTCAACACATTACTAGATTACCCGCGTTTCACGTTGCATTCGATCTCTCTGTCTCTGCTACAACGTCGCTCTCTCGCCGATCTCTCAATATACACGGGGTAGCTAGCTAGGAGCTAACCGGCTGCTGTGTTCAGACCGGCCACTGTGTTTAATTGCCGTGATGCTTCAACGAAGTTGACGAAACTGGCACGGGGTTGGAAGGATTTGAAAGCTAAATTTGTGGTAGATTTGTAAGACAGATGGGTAGATAGATAGATTATGATCGCTATCGATCTGCGAGGTCGAGTAAACTGAACTTAATTTGCTGATTTTTCAATTCTTTGACGCCCTCGGCTCTGCGACGACAGATAATTCAAGGTCCCGTACGTCAAGCTATTTTACTGGTTTCTAGTTTCTAGAAATATTACTGGTCCTGGTCTGTTGAAAACTTGAAGTACACGTACATATCAACATATGTACACGGTACACCTGTATTGCTGATGATTTTGTTGCTGTATGTGCCGACCTTCTGGAATACTACCTTCATTTATTGAATTAACCAACGGTCATACTTCCTCCGTTTCACAATTCCATATACATATTGATGTTAATGAATCTAGATATATATATATATCTATCTAGATTCATTAATATCAATATGAATGTGGGAAATGCTAGAATAATTTACATTGTGAAATGGAGGGAGTATATTATTGATAAGGGTAATATGGATTTTACCTTGAGAGCATGTACACGTAAGGGCGAACATCTACACAACGTCCAATGTACGAGTTTGGTCGTCATTAAAACTAGCAAGGTAACTAGCCTGTGTATTTACGCGGGTATGTATCGTAGTTTGTATTTGAAAGACTTGTAAGTACTATTTCTCCACAAATTTTCTTCATGCACACTGCTTAAATAAGTTTTTCAAACTATTAGTTTGCTCTAAACTATAATCGTCTTCATTACCTAGAAAGAAGGTAGACTTAGATTATTTAGAGAACATGTCAATTAAGTGTAAATTAAAAGTAAGATATTTTTTAATTAAATGTTTAGGTGCTCTCTTTTTTAACAATTTAAAAAACTATTATTTCTAATAAATGTGTTTTATTTGTACATGCAAGCCTGCCTTCTAATTGGTTCATATTGACGGTTACATATGAATTACTAAATATAGAGGATATATCCTAGACCTTGTTTTCCTATGATATGCATGATCTACGGTGTGTGTGCGTTTTCAAAAAAAAAAAGCTAGTCAGCATGAGTTCTGTAATTAAAATTTAGGAGTAACAAATATAACATTAAGCCCACTATATAATGCTACCTTAATGTAGCTTATATATGCAATAATGTGTGGAGAAACTCATAATTCCACGGTACAGGATAAGTGGAAGTCCGTATCATATCTAAGCATTATTTAAAAATGGTTATGGCAATTAAAAGCCAATGGTTGTTCCAATTTAAGTCAAAAGTAAGAATCATTTCTTACGAATTTAATAGATTTTTCTCCGAATGGCTCAAGCTAGTCCCTATTGCCAGATTGTAATTTATGTTTTATTTTATACAAATTTTAAGTTCAAAATATAGGCATTACGAAACTTAAATTGTTGGTTTATTTATGAATAGAGCAACAATTCGATTAAAAATCAGATGTGCAGCTTAAAATCATGGTCGTTTTAATGTTATTGATTGTTTCTCTTTTAGTTTGATAAGTACATAGAGGGGGAGAAGAATGGATGGTGGAGAGCCTAAGTCGAGAGGAGAGGAGAGGAGAGGAGAGGGGGTGGGCAGTGCTGTGTGTATTCGAGGGGAAGGGCAAGGTAGAGGGGAAATTGTTTTTCTCATTTTACTAAATGGTTTAAGTGAAAACCGATGATAATATGGTTTTTTTCACAAAATTTCAAAGACTTTTTATAATTTTTATGACGTGACATATGGCAACAAAAGATTTTTCTAAAAGTATACCTAATGGTTAGAAATAATTGATCTATCGATTTGATTAGAAACCAATAGTCACATGTTAATTTCCTCATAATTTCTGAGAGATTTTATAATTTTTTAGACGCAACACATGGTGACTTAGAGAGTTATAGAGGATGTAGATTGATTTAATATGATGTACTATTTATTGTCAATTTTTTTATAGTGATTCATTGCTGTTGTTATTTGGTCGCCACACAACGAATAGAACTTGATGTTCCAAAAACATATGTAAATTTTTATTCAATACAATTTGAGCAATATTCATCTTGAAATTTTTATTTAATTATAAAACAACAGTTCAAAACAAACTAAAAATTGAATATAACTTAAGAACTATTATCATTTAGCATTGCATTCATTGATTATTTTTATATTAACATGTTAGTTAAAAAGTAGGAGAGGAAGGGATATCCTGATGGGAGAGGCCACATGCGCATATAATGGAGGATGGGGAACATACAATAGTGGTATGGAACGAGTGAGGATGAGAGTTTGTTTTCTTTAAGAATACAATGGTTAGTAAGATCTAATGTTATAAAATAATACGTCCATCACATTAGGTGAAATTTGCTAAAATTCTATTACAATTATATATGTTTTGTGCTTTTGTACAAACTGATTGTGTTTTAGTTCCTATTAATTACTTTACTAACTGAAATTAGCATTAACAACTCTATTGATTGATTAAGATCTATCCTTTTTTTTTTACTTCTGTGTTCCTACAATATATTCAGTGTAGATATTAAAAATATGAGGACACAAAAGTATAAACGTAGTTTTCATGAAAAATCTGATAATATTATTGTGACTTATCATAATTTAAGAATGGGGAGAGCAATTTTTAAGAACAACAATCACAGTTTTGCTTATTTTAATGTTATATAGTTGTAGATATAATTTAATTATTATGAAGTTATGTACGATAGTAAATTCTACATTATTAGTTTTTTCATATGTTTTTTAATAGCATGAAAAATAAAAAAAACCCAAAAATGACATATTCCTTTTGACGGTTGAAATAGGGTAAATATGGGTCTTTAAATGTAAGTTTGTTTTCATAATTTTTTTAATGGCATGTAAAATAAAAGAGTAAATTGCACCCACAATGCAACAACTTGGCAGGTGGGTGCGATATAGTGCAAGAAATTGAGAATTGAACGTCTGAGTACAACAACTTGACAAGTGGGTGTGTTCTAATACAAGAATATAATAATTTATTATTTTGGTGTATCAACTTGGCTAAGCATATGCTAGGTGAGTTTTTTTTAATCATATGGATATTACCTTATAATATTGAATTTAATTTTTAAGAATTATACAGCACATAATAGTATAATTTACATCCAATTACCATTAAGAATTTTTTGTTGTCTTCACCTTCTCAAATATCAACCGAAATATAATAATTTTTATATCCAATTTAATTGGCTTTCAGTTATTAGTTATTAGGATAAAAATATAAATATACTTTTACAAATATGTGCTAGTATATTGTCAAAATTAGTACTTAAAAATTGAATTTATATAAAAAATACTCCGAATAATTAAGTTGCCGCATAACCTTTTAATTTATTGTATCAAAATCATACCTACCTTGCAAATTATTGCATTTATACGATCACTGATAAAGTTCTTATACTAAATTGCACCTACATGCCAAGTTGTTGCACTAGAACACTCATTTCTCAAGTTATTGCATCAAATTGTACCCACATGTCAAGTTGATGCATCGTGAATGCAATTTACTCAAAATAAAAACTATAAACCAAAGTGACATATTTATTTAAAAGTTAAAATATAGTAAATATATATAGGTCTTTAAATGTAAATTTTGTCATAAATAATCTATCAAAATATGAGTTACCTTTATGATTTACATGTTATAGCTATTTAATTTTTTTATTAGAAATCATGTTTCCTAATTAATGTAGCATCAATATAGGGGAGAGAAACAGAAAGATGGGCGAGGTGTGTATGTCCATTACATATTCATCCACACACGGGTCGGCCGGGGTTGGGCCGTGGGGGTTAGGAGGTGGCTATTTATTTTTCTAATCAAACATAATTTAAATGGTTAAAAGTAATGGGTCCATCAAATTAAATGAAAGCTAATGGTTTAGATTATTTTTAAGAAGTTCTCTAATTTATTAGAGTGTCATGTGGCATATTGGAAACGTTTACGGGGGTGTCACGTGACGTCTTAGGAGGTTTTATAGGATGTTTGATGAATTTTTACTATATAATAGATAGATAGATTCATAGGTACAATGAAAATTGATTGTTTTTCCGGGGAGTGAAGATCTGCATATGAAAATTAATTTTTGCTGTGAGTGTGGACCTGTATGTGAAAATCGATTACAGTCGATCCACACGTGAAAATTGATTTTGGGACAATTTCCCTACAATTAACATATGTTAGTGCACCATAATATTATTATGCAATAGTAGATGTTAAAAACCAAAGTCAACTCTTGTCTCTCCTCCCCCTTTTAATTT